ACCAGCAACATCCCCAAGGGATGTGTGGGAACCTGTGTTATTCAAGGTACTCATGCATTATCTAAAAAAATGTATCAGTAGTGAAAAAATGTATCACTAGTGAGGTGATGATATTAATGAATGATACAAACTCATTCAAGATGACTGGATCGAAAGTGAATAGCCATGAACTGTGGAGGACTGTCACAATAGAGAGTTGGAAAAATACTAAGTGAAACTCACTGGTAATAAGTACAAAATAATGACCATATTAACCAGTACTTTTGTGAGCACAGGATCTAATGTAGCCTACTTTTATAACCAGCAGTTGAGTGACGTTTTAATTGAATTATATTAAAGCTGCAGAGTGACTTCAGTCTTCATTACACATAAAAGAACCCACAGAGAAAAGCCCTGACTAAGGAGTGAATTCACTGGTATCTAATGAGACATTATATCCCGTTGAAACTTTTCTCCTGCAGGTAGGGTACTCGGGTGCTTGCTCAGGTCTGTACTGACTAGTAAGAGTTTGATCTAGAGTGAGCCGTGCCCTCACTGCACACACTCACAGTACCACCTGACTTGCTTCCTATTTATTGAATTCTGGGCTACCGACTTTCACGAACTTATGGAAACTTCAGACAGCAAATCCTTTATACTATTTTTTAATTTGCCTGAAATTAAAAAAAAAAAAATGTAAAATGTAAAGGTAATAACAAGGCGTTCAAAAATTATTTCAAGGACTGTGATCAATATAATCCCACAAAAATCAGCACTGCTGTCAGAGGGAGCAGCCTACCTTCCTCTTCCTCTCAAGTACTCACCCCCTGCATGCTCCACCTTCTCCAGCTTTTTGTTGGTGCTGGTGTGCATACAGCCACTCGGTGAGCTGGATCACTCTGAAAACTACTCCAGGAAAAAAATGTTTAGTTTTTAACTAGATTGTCTGGTCCCAGTGCAAGACGGGGGCAGAGGCAGCTCCTCTGACAGCAGTGCAGATCTGTACCAGATTAAGTTGAATATAAAACTGCATGGATCCTGACACGTTTAGTTCTAAACTTGGTACTCCTCCATCTCTGCCATCTGTGGGGAAATGGTTTCAGGTAGTGAACAATGGGTCACGCTGTGTACAATGTATAGTAATTTCTGCTTGCTTTCATGACGTGTCCAGAAAAAAAAAAAATATAATTAAGGCTACTGCTGTTGTCATCTCTTTTATACAAGTAGAATAAGAAAATGTAATGGGGGTGCAGAATCAACATTCAGTCTCTCCTCCTAGGTTATTTGTCTGAAAAGACTGCAATGAACAGTCACTGGAAAGGGCTGGATAGATCGTCCCGGGCAAGCATGCCATCTGCTAGCCTGAAGGCTGATGCTCCTGCCTGCAACTTCCCTCTCAACACGCTTAAAGAATTATTTATTTTAGCAGTCAAACAGCTTTGACAGCAGAAAGAGCACACACATCAAATGTAGCCTGTACTATGGTGGTGTTGAATTAGTTTTCCAAAACGGCTGACGTAGGGGCTTGTTTCTCCTCAGGCCCATATGACTCACAATATGGACAAACTTCAGTAAAATTAAGTGAAAACTACAAGGGAGACTCAGAAGGCGGCCACCATCACTTTTTTGAAATAAACACATATCCTGTGCTTTGTCAAATGTTGGAAGAAAGGACTGGGTGCTTACCTTGATGTATGGTCTCTGTGCTGTGAACCCCAAGTGGAGGGAGATGCCCTGGGGCAGCAGAGAGTAGGAAGCCTTAGCTCCAGCGGGGAATGGCATATACAGGATCTCCATCTTCAGCATTTCCTACTGACCGCTCTAAGTGGTTTCTGGTTCTGCCTGGTAGTAACTCTTCACATGTGGGTTTTTTGCTTTGTTGGAGACCTAGTTAAGTATTTTATTGTTTGTTGTGGACCCCGTTTTAAGGCACCTAAATCTTCCTGTGCATTGTTTAGGGAGTCTGGACATGAGGCTTGAATAATGAAGTGCTTCAGTCCTTCTGTGAATCTGGGTCATGGTGATTTTGTTTTTCCCCACATACGGAAGAGTGAAATCATATAACTTTTTAGTAGAAATATTACTGTAATTGAAAATTTATTTTAAGTTTCTAATGTCACTGAATAGGTACATTTTACGAAAGCTGAAGTCCTTTTCTGCTACATTAAAAAGAATAAACAAAACCCCCAACATAGCTCCATTAGAAACACCCTCAGCACTCTCACTAAATTTAAGAGCGCGTATGAAGAGAATCCAGAGCAAACACTTGCGTTCTGCATATTCTCTACGATCTCAAACACCAGTGTCAATAGGCATGAAGTTTCTTCAAAAGCCAGGGCACGCCCCACCTTCACCATAATGCTCTGAAGGCCAATAGTGAAAGCAAACACATCGTACAGGATTCCATTCATTAACAGTAATTCATTAAGACTCAAAACTAATGCATTAATCACATTAATGATAATCCATTAATGTGAAGAACCTGGAGATAAAAAAAGTAGAATCAAGGCTATGCTCTGTAGCAACAGTGTTACAGTTTTAGGGTAATGCTGAATTACAAAATTAGTCTGTAGACTGACAAGAGGATTAACCGTGCCAGCAGAGCATATGAAGTGAATACCATGGTTTAGGAGAGCAGAAAATGATGGCATAGAATTATTAATGTTTCCACACAGGGATTGGTTTGCATTGAGGGTGTAATTTGGAAAGGTGACTCTAGATGGTTGCTTCTTGAAATCAGGCCCAAAGTATTAAGGACCAAAATCATAAACATTTTATTTAAAGAGTGATGCACTTGCTTATGTTGTGGCAGAACGATCCCTGTATACTGATCTTAGTATTGTTATATCAGAGGGCAGTAATGCCACCACTGTGAACAGTTCCAGTTAATTATCACTAGAATGTTTTGGTAACACCAGGGTATTTTGCAATATGAACAAAATGAGGGAAAAAATAGTAAAAGGGAAAAAAAAAAAAGCCCAAACAAACCCTGGGAGCGCTGACTTCAACAAGTTCAACAAATATTCAAGCCACATTTAATAACTTTATGAAACTAGTATCAAAGTAAAGAATATATAGTCAAAATACAGAAATAAAGCTGAGTGAGAGAAAACAGCCTGATGAGATAAAAAAGTTAAACAGAACAGATTAATATAAACAAGTTAGCTGAAAGGTCGCTTTGCTTTGTGTAGCAGTATTTCAGCAATTCCTTTCCTCAATAGCTAGTTTAGAAGGAAGAGCTAATCTGAAAAAAAAAAAAAATAAATCCTGCTGTATGTGTTACTGTGATTGTTTGCAGAAACAGCATCACCCTAATTTGCAACCTATGTTAACTCCTTGTTTAACAAACACAGTGGATTTTTTTTTTAAAGGGAACAAAACTTCAGAATGAAGTGTCTGCATCCACCTTTCCATTACACATACATTTATCTTTCTGTTGGCTATGAATTCTTTTATTTGTGAACTGCAAATGATTAGAATTTGCTTACACTTCCAGACCTTTTGTTTGTCATAGATACTTCACTTCTAAAAGTGTCTGATGTAGCACTCATTAATTACAGAATTACAAAAGGTAGAAGAAGACTTTCCCCGCTCAGAAATTTGCATTTTTGGTAAAGGTAACAATATATCAGCTTCACTAAAACACTAATAATAGGCATACATTTAATTTTATATCACCATCCTTCCAAAGAAAAAAGAAAGACTAAAAGATGTGTGCAGTTGGTTTTTGCTCAGTATAAAAATTTAAACTCAGAACTCATTTCACTATGATAAACACTATGAATTACATATAAACATAAGTGGAAAAAAATGTGCCAGGCTTCACCAAAAAAAAAAAAGGTTTGATTAGCAGATGATGATCCTGTAGTGCTATTGTACACTAACCTGTAAGCCCAGAGATTTAAAAAAAAAAAAAAAAAAAAGGGCAAACAAATTAACCAAACCAGTTTTGATGCAGGTTTGGCATCAGGTGTATGTTACAGTCTTAGACTGAGTATGCTTATTCTATGGTTGAGAAATTTGAAGTACCAGATTTTTCCACATCAAATAGCGGGTAGCTGGTGCATACATTTCAGACAACAGAAATAGGATTTCTTTAATTTGAGACCGGATGAGTAACCTATTGTTAAAATGTCCAAAGTGTGCAATAATAAGGGAGATTTCTTATTACACCACCTCTTAAGATACTCATTGTTTGATGAAACAAACAAGGTGCTTTAAAACAGCAGAGTAACAGGATACAAACAAGTGCCAGAACGAAGGAAAACTGCTAAAATGGAACTGCCCTTTCTTTCACAATAAGAAATAAAGAACTTTTGTATCTGGTATTTGAAAGGTTTTTAACAGCTGATATTCAATATCAGCTGATTCCTGAAGTGTTGGCAAGGTACCAGGTTTCTGGTACTGGCCATTTCTAATGTTATTTAAATATTCACATCATGCAATAAGCAGTTTCACACACTGCAATGTAATGGAAAATACTTCCTAAACTGAATCAGAACTGAGACCCAAAGCAGAACCAGTAAATAAATATCTCGCATATATGTCAAACTATATTCTTCAAACAAAACCTTACATCTTATCAAAGAAGTCAGAAAGTACTAACAAAAATTATATGCTTTCTACTATAATACTGTTAAATTTCCATGGCTGAGAATGTCCTGTTAATTTTTTCTGCCTTTTTAAATTAGTTGACAAAGTAGAAATTCAAACACAGAAATAAAATGCATATATATGAGAGCACTGGCTCAGCGAGATATCAAATATACAGCATTCTAGTGTCAAAAGTACAGGCAGAAATGTCCAAGATTTCTTGGTGAAAAAGGGGCATTTGAGGAGTAAAAATTCTACTTAACAATCACTCACATTTTAACAGTGCATTAATTATAACAAAAGCTGGATGATAAGTGAGCAACAGAGTCATAACGTTCAGTGTTCATAGCAGAATTTTATCCTCTGCTTATTTAAATGAGGTTGGAAACATATACTCATGTATGTGAAACTAAGTAGCTATGTTTTTTCAATTTTTCAGGATTCTTGCAAGAGGCAAAATTGTGTCATTGAATTGAGTTGGATGATAGTACAAGGTGGCGTTGATAGAAGTCTTCCTTTCGATGCTGTGCCTCTGGCTTCTCAAAGGATGATTAGTCCTACAATCTTGTTTGATCTACTCTTTTGCCTCTAGGAAGAGGGTTTCTTGAGGATACAGTTTTACCTCCAGTAATGATTTATTTGGATCCAGCTGGGTCACCTGTAAAGATAAGAACAAGAAGGTATGTGTAAGTAGACTTTTTTGAATTGTTTACCTTCACAGGGCAGATTTTCACTGGGGAGATATTTTGAGTCCCTCTGTCAGTGACAACTGAAGTTGTGAGAATGAATTCCCAGGATGCAGATTAAGAAATATATATTGTATTTTGCATGTTGTTGTTGTTATTATTTTGTAATAACAATAAACAGAATAATAATTAACAGAATCCACTAATTCCAAGAAGGTCTGGTTTTCTACCATAACCAATATGTGAATATGCCTGGTTTTGTCAAAGTTAAGACCTTTTGGAAGGATAGCTAGAACACATGAATTAAGATGAAAAATAAAACTGTAGTCCCAGATAAGTATCCTAAAATTCCAAACTGATGGTGCAAGCAGCATAGACAATCCAACACGATCTCTCCATTGAAAGGGAAAACTTACTCTGCCTTTATTTTCCCACTCCCTTGCTTGCTCCAAGTCCCATGGTGAAGCACCTAACTTTCACTCACTTTGATGCTTATCTGCCACCTCAACGAACCTGGGCTGGGAGAAAACTGTCCACTTTTATTTGTTGGGTTTTTTGTTTGTTTGTTTTTTCTGTCATACTAGTGAGTTTAACTGGTGAACACACAAGTCCAGTCAACACCAAATCCAGTGCAAGGTAAGTAGCAAAAGCACTAAGCAGTAAGAAGGGAGGAAGCAGGGCCATCCTCCTTTCACTGGGAGTGGGATGCTAAATAAGCTCACCCTATGTTGAACTGCATCTCAACCCAACTACTGAAGTGTACACTTATTACTCATGTGTGTATACGTATCTGCATTACAAGTACTATATGTCTATATAATCATTTATGTAGACACTTAGGTGTGTACATTTGTACTACAGGATTGTTCCCTGGAATCCCGACTCCTCACTGGATTTGTAAAGGTATTTAGGTAATCACTTGTGCAGGTCAGCACACAGAATTCCAGTGAGAGTTAAATGCCATACAATTTGGAAAATAACGATATTGGTACTACCTACACTATTTTTACCAAAATTCTTAAGCGTTTGGATCTTAGCACCAAACCCTCCAAGCTGCTCAATGTCCTGACTGTCCCATTATCAGCTTTCACTTAAAGCACATAAGCCATTCTCAGTTTATAGTCAGCAAGAAATCTTCATCTTGAGGATTCTATTTAGAAGCTCAACTGTTGCCTATAGGATAAATCTCTTCTGTGAAAATAAAATTTAATTGTAAATATTACATAATTATTTATATAGACAAAATAATGAGAACAAGGGTCCTAGCGTCCTTCAGACATCCAGGTTTACACACCAATGCCGTGACATCCTTCAGAAGACTACGCAAAGTTTCATATAGAAAGATGAACATTATTTATTTTAATCTTACCATTTTCTGAAATAGTTCACTTCCAGTTTTTAAACTTCTTTTCCCTGGTAATTCTGTTTTAGTTTCTTTTGCTATGTGAGCACACTAGTTATCAGAAGATTCCTTGTGAATAATAGATGATTAGTCTTATGCTATAGGTGTAAATGCAAATGCATACTGATAAACATTTTTTCCAAAGTTAAATTTGTTTTATCTATGATCATATCATGCCACTGCATTCTAAAATTGTTTTTGAAAACATTAAGTGTCAAGCACACCAAATATTATGAATTAATAAGACATGCTAATGTATTTTTTTCTTAAAAGCATAGCTTACTAATCCTGTTACCAATTAACAAATGCAGTATTGGTTCTCTTTCTCTTCCCCCCAGCTAAATCATGCAAACTTAAAATATATTTGTATTTCTATTGTTTTATTGGATAATTACAGAAAATTAATTATTTAAACAAATATTCGAAGCTTAACAGTTCTTAAGTCCATTGAAATCAATGTAATTTCACCTCTCTGACTGCAAAAGAATTAAAAAAAAAAAATAACAGGACTAAAAAATCCCAAATAGACATATTATTTTGATTCCCAAAGCAGGAACATATTTTCGTAAACTTCATGTACCATGGTGAGCTACTGCTAAATGTCTGAAGAGAAAAATAATTTATAAAAACCAGACTCAATTTTATATTCCTATTATCTACGTCCCAATTATG